GCGCGCGCACGTTGGGGGAGGAAAGGATTCCAACTACACCCTGTTAACTATTTTTCCTTTTGTTTACTAGAAGCCTCAGATCACCCGGAGCTCGTTTGAAATGTGGGTTTGTACACAGTTAAAGGCGACAAACAATAAGAGAAATCCACAATTTCATCTCAACAGCCATTCCCTAGTAGAAAGCACACGCTTGTTGTGGCTCCTAAGTGGCTGTCACTGTCGGTGCCTGACAGGTATATTCACAACAACAACAGCAACAACAACAAAGTATGCCGAGGAAATTAAATTATATGGAAATCAATAGCGTCTGACTGCTTCAAACAAATGTCTGTCACCGCGATTATTCTTCAAGAACCTATTTATAAACCTTGAAAGAAACAGGTTCTCGCAGCTAAAGACAGCACTTCTGCATTTCTGTGTTATTTATACTGTATACAGAGGCATGCACGGGCATAATTTAACATACAAATGCCCAGCTGTATACATTATATAACAGCTTGTTAGACGACCCAGAGAGGAGGTGTGTGCCTAAGTAATACGCATATATTCCGGGCTTGCGCTGGGGCGGGGGTTAGGAGAAGAGGGGACACTACAGAGGAGCGCGCGAACATCTTGTCTCTCTCCCGTTAAAAGCTGCCCACCCGAAGACAATGGCTAGCCCCTTTGATCTTTCCAGACCCGCGGTGGGAAAGGTGAGGCGTGCAGTGCGCATGCCCGGGCAGCTACAGGTGCATCACCTGCGCTGTCCTTGCTGGTGGTCACTATAAGAGCGGCTCCCACGCGCGGGTAGCTGCCGGGGGAGCGCGCGCGCGCGCGCGCGCAGACGCACGGCGCCTCCGAAAGAGAGAGCGCGCGTCAGACAGACTAAGACAGCTGATGTCTGTCAGCGCGGCTGGGCCGCGAGCTCTCGCGAGAGCTCCCCGGGCCGGCCGCGAGAAGTAGGGCTCAGGTGTAAGAGGAGTGCATCCCGTCCGCGCGCGGGGCTAGAGCTCTTGGAGAAGTGGGATCGCGAGGCCGGCGCGCGGCGCTCTGCGCGGTCAAAGCGAGCGCCGGGCGGCAGCGGCGGCAGCAGGAGCGCAGCAGCCCCCCAGCGCAGCCGCCGCCTCCGCGCTGCCAGCCGCCGCGGCTGCAGCCTCGGAAGGGAGGCCGGGGGAGCCGGCGTGCGCACTTTCCCGCGGACTTTCGGAGTGTTTGTGGATTTACATGCCAAGCCATCAAGATGATGTCCATGAACAGCAAGCAGCCTCACTTTGCCATGCATCCCACCCTCCCTGAGCACAAGTACCCGTCGCTGCACTCCAGCACCGAAGCTATCCGGCGGGCCTGCCTGCCCACGCCGCCGGTAAGCGCCCCGCGCCCGCGGTCCCGGCCCGCGCACCCGCCCCTCCCCGTTTCCGAGACGTTGCATGTCGGGTGCTGGTGTGTGCAAAGGTCCCGGTGCGGGGATTCGCGGGCAGGGATTTTTGGAGGAATCCCGCTGCTTGGCACGTTTTGTACAGTGGGGCTGAATGTCGTGTTTCTGTCGCCCCTGCCTCCGTGTCCGGCGCCTGCGATGAGTGGGGAGCGCTGGGGCCATGACTCTCGACTTTCCTCCACTTTCTCTGTTAATTTCATGCCTCAGAAAGGCGATCTCTGCGTGTTCGGGTGCGCGACACGGGTGCCCAGCTGCGAGTTACATCTCCATTTCTTCTTTCCTTCCTCCTTTTTCGTCTCCCACGCCCGTTCCCGGAATGTGTCCCTGTGTCCCTCTCCCTACGTCTGTCTCCCTACCCGCACTCCGGACCCTTCTCGTCTGTCCCTCTGTCTCATCCCCAATGTGTCCCCCGCTCCGCCTTTCCCGGTCTCCACTACCCCCACCTCCGTTGTTGTTATTTTGGTTGCTTTGTGTTTGTCCTTTGCTTGTTGTGCTTTCTGGCTTGTGTATGGTTTTGTTTTGTTTCGTGTTTTGCTTTTTTGGTTTTGTGGTGTGTTTTTTTTTTTGGTTTGGTTTGTGTCGCCTGCAGCTGCAGAGCAACCTCTTCGCCAGCCTAGACGAAACGCTGCTGGCGCGGGCCGAAGCGCTGGCGGCCGTGGACATCGCGGTGTCCCAGGGCAAGAGCCACCCGTTCAAGCCGGACGCCACGTACCACACGATGAACAGCGTGCCCTGCACGTCCACGTCCACCGTGCCGCTGGCGCACCACCACCACCACCACCACCACCACCAGGCGCTCGAGCCGGGCGACCTGCTGGACCACATCTCGTCGCCCTCGCTCGCGCTCATGGCCGGCGCGGGCGGCGCGGGCGCGGCGGGCGGCGGCGGCGGCGCCCATGACGGCCCGGGGGG